AGACAAGTCCGACTTTCGTTTACTCTTCGCCGGTGCTTCCACTTGAATCTTCCTCATTTAAAATCTGTATGAATCAAGTTTTCGAATCGATGCTATTACCAATTACCGTCGGCTTCTAAATATGGTTAATCCATAACTTCACCTAAATGTTCCTTTAAGGTAAAATGGGATTGGTCAGTCAGTTAGCCGAGTCCGCCAAGGCTAATCCCTTCTCACTTCCAGTTCGGACTGGGAATTGCTTTACCGTAGAAAAGGAAGAAGGTAAGTCACTCGGTGTTAAATTGTACAACTGCCTTTGTGAAATAAATATCAATGCTACCACTTTGATTGCAAATAGGCTTTTCCTAAGCTGATACTTGAATGTTTTCTGTTCGTGCAGGGCGTTATTGCAACTTATTACTTTTACTTGGCTACGGTTCAAGTTTAGAAAGAGGAGTCGCTTTTCGAGTCGATAAGATCATTTTCTAAATTGGATCCAGGTCATTGCGAGAGAATCTCATTATAGTTGCGAGGGGGAATTCACTTGGGAGAGTACTTCCTCATCCATTTTTCTTAACCATTGGTACTCGAATGCAGATGGATTTGATGAATTTGTTCAAACTGCTTTTAATTAACTTTCGAAAACGGTAATGTAGGTGATGTATGACCCGCTATAGCTGCTGTGCCAGAATGTAAACTACGTAGCCGAGGTTTGAAGCAACGCTCATACCTTTGTAGCAGACAGGATGTCATCCTATTGACCCTTGTCGTCGGCGAGAGCACAAAGTGCAGCGTCAACGAGTTCCTTTTACATTGTTCCTTATCCTCGGTCTTTCCTTCATCCCTTATTTTCCAATCTCATTTCATCATATGGTACATTTCCTTTTTTCTAGAATTGGTGACCCTGTTGGGTGAACATTCCCTATTAGGTGTAAATCCTTTTCATAGAAGAAGCAATCATATATACCCCCCTATTGAGGTCGGGTGTTGTAGGATCCCTACAGCCTCCTTCTCCATCGTTCATATAGGATAGTCGCTTAGGAATATGCATTTATTACCTTCCATCCATTATGTTCTTAGGTGGAGAGAGGTATTTGCTGTGACTATTAATTACCTTTTCCTTAGTATTGGCTGGAACGGAAAGAAGGCTGCTCTTTATAATCTTAAACCGTTGAGAATTTGAAGAATGATGAGCTTGCAATTGTTCGCTAGGAAGGGGTCCTCACGAGTTTGACTTTGCTCTTTGAGACGCTGTCCTAGCCGGTGGCCCGCACTAGGGGGCGTTACTGCTGCTGCGGGAGGCAGAGAAGCGAGAGTGGGTAAGAGAGCGAGTGCGAGAACAAACGTGGCACCTCACTCTCGTCGTGCGATATTCCAGAAATGGAATCGTATTTCAATGTAGTTATTTATTGAACATTTAAGAATGACCTCGGAAACGCAAGAGAAGTTCATACCTCATTTTGTTCGTGCACGGGATCCTGCATATCATGGAGGGGTCATGGGATGTTGTGTTATTGCGGTGATGTGGGTCATCCTGTATTTCTGGGGGGTCACTCAGCTAGTTGATGGTATTCTGGACTGGTTATCTTACGGCAGATCATCTGCTGTTGTCCAAGTTGCCGTGGCTATTGCCACCACGACAGTTTCGACAGTTGTAGGTTTGTTTCTTTGATCAACGATCTGATTTGTTTAGTCAGACGATTCATGTACGGTCTTCATTTTTCAGCCGATGCGGTGGAATTTGGATCGCTGAAATACTATGCCCTCTGTGCGTTTGGAGGAGTTTTATCCTGCGGTACCACTCATACCGCTATTGTGCCACTTGATCTTGTCAAATGTCGCATTCAGGTAATGGTTTTTATTTCAAGTTGTTGCAAATTAGTGTGACTGAGAACTGGCCCTACACATTAGTGAGAAACCAGGAGGCTAATTTGATTAGCATGTTTTTCTGGCATGGTGTTAATTCACTGTTCACCTAACGGAACAGTGAAGATTGCTTTCGATTGTAATCATGCAACAGAGGTTCTGATTCTAGGGATGGAATGTTTTAGTTGTCTATGACCTCTTCCATTATTCGTGACTGCATGCTTTCCGGGGCTTTTGAAATAGGTTTTTCATCTTCTATGACAGTTCACGACTTTATTTTAGGTAAATCCAGAAAAATATAAGAACATTGTAACTGGATTCCGCACAACCGTCGCGGAGGAAGGAGGTCGTGCTCTCGCGAAAGGATGGGCTCCAACCTTTGTCGGGTATTCGCTTCAAGGTCTAGGAAAATTCGGATTTTATGAGGTCTTCAAGAATGTATACTCAGAAATGCTGGGCGAGGTGAGCGAGGATGTTGTGGCTGTTTGTAATTTCAAATGTTATTTATAACACTAAAGTGAGCAAAATTTTTCAGGAAAATGCTTATTTGTACCGTACTTCCCTGTATTTGGCAGCATCTGCATCAGCTGAATTCATTGCTGATATCTTGCTCGCTCCCATGGAAGCTACAAAGGTTCGCGTGCAGACCTCCCCAGGTGCTCCTCCAACCCTCCGAGGTTGCGCTCCCATGATCTACAGAAGTGAAGGTTTAATGGGCTTCTACAAAGTAAGTTTGCGGTTTCACAGAAATGCTTCCTGAAACAGTGCGAATATGCCCTTCTTTTTCCAGGGTATTGTCCCTCTTTGGCTACGACAGATTCCTTACACAATGATGAAGTTCGCATGCTTCGAGCGCACAGTGGAAATGCTGTACAAATATGTTGTACCTAAACCTCGCTCGGAATGTTCCAAACCCGAACAGCTGGTAGTCACGTTCGTTGCTGGTTACATTGCAGGTGCGTTGTTTTTGCCACAGATTTTCTCATTTTGACTGCTGATTAAACAACTTTCAGGAGTATTCTGCGCTATCGTTTCTCATCCAGCTGACACTGTTGTGTCTAAGTTGAACCAAGATGCCGGATCTGGAATTGGCGGTATTATTAAGAAACTCGGTTTCGTGGGATTGTGGAAAGGACTGTTCCCACGTATTATCATGATTGGTACACTAACAGCAGCACAATGGTTCATTTATGACTCAGTAAAGGTGGCACTTCATCTCCCACGTCCACCTCCTCCAACGATGCCAGAATCTCTGAGAAAGAAGTTGGAGGCGGCTGGAAAACTTCATCATTAATTAATATGCTTATTAATGTTGGAATGTTATAAATTTTGAATACATGACCGACTAGTTTGTTAAGTGAGTGATAGCTGTCTCGTTGATATATTTATCGCATTTTCATGTGATCATTCTGTTTACTAGGCAGTGAAGGAGTGTCGTTTAGTGCTGATAAATGTTAGCGGAGTTTCTTCATCCTGTCACTTATCGGATGCTATCTAATGCAGCACAACACTTCAGGTGATTACGGTTTTTATATTTAATGTAAGACGTATTCTTGTGAAAATCAAGGTTCATTTGAAGTGCAAGTCATTCCGTTGCGCATGTTTTGAAGGATTGCTCTCGACGCTTCTGCGGGCAGCTCTATCTAGCTAGTGAAAGTGTTTAAGGCTCGTTATTTCCTTCATCAAGGAGCAGTCCTTTTCCGATGCGTTACAGTGGCGTATAGGTCATGATAGATGGTTTTTTATGTAGCTTTGAGTTATCACTGTCTAAGGCTAGCTTGTTTCTTTCCGTTGCACCATCATAGCGGTCTCAAGGTTGCTCGGGAGCCCTGCGAAGGGTCTGGCTCAATATGCATGAATAGGGTAGGGTGTGTAAAATATATTCGGAGTCCAGGTTTGAGCAATGTGAGTGGTACGGACGGCGGTGCCCGCTAACGAAGCGATCGGATCAGGAAGTATAAACCTAAGCATGACTGAAAGTGTACTGGTGTGTGTATCTGATGATCGGCTGTTCAACGGTTTACAGTACTCAATTAACAATTCTATGCTTTTGCACCCTTTTGCGTTATCAAGTATTGAAATTAAACGAGTGGATGGAAGCTTATTAGCACTCGTGGATGGGGTTAGTATGGTTGTTCGCATCGATCGTAGGTAGTACAGGGTTACTGTGTGTGCTGCAGGCTGGGATCAGTCTGTTGTTCCAGTTTCTGCTATCTCCTTACGTTGATATCTATAATGGCTAGACAATCAAGCTGCCCTTGAATGTTCTAGAACATTGAGTCAATTTTGCGATAATCCAAGAAAAAGTTTGTTTGCGTTCTCTTTGTATTCTTGTTTTTACCTTCAAATCGTTAACCAAAGCTAACCATACATCATCCGTTATCGTGGCAGCAAAGACTTGGGCTCAACAGCTGTGTAATGTGCGATTTTGTCAATATGAGCCACCAGAGCGACCAAAAATCGAAAACGCCTTGACTTCGCTTATTGCCCGCATTCTTTGCATAGTTAGGCGTTGGTGGCTTGTTGTTGGTATTCGGCTGATGTTGATATCAGAAGGAGCACACGTCATTCGCGATCGTTTCATGAGCTTTCATTCTTCAAAAAGTAATGGCTTTTAAACCCTTAAATAGTCAAACTTTGACCCAAATTCTATGTTTATGGTATCAGTGTGGTTGCTCCAGATCAGTCATATGAGGAGTTATCTTCATCAGGACAGTTTCTCAGTTTAATTCGTAATCAACGATTTTCTCTAGAGAATAGCTTGCCTCATCTTCTCAATTCTCTCATGCAATGCTAGGTGTTGGCTCGTTGTGAGATAGTTGCATCTTTCCTTTTGGATCCGATGGTAATCTTTGTTTAGGCCTAACGCTGCTTCCCAGCTACTGAACGATCGTAGATGTTTCGGTTTTTCTTCGTCATTGTTTCTTTCGGGAGGTTCCATTTTGATAGAACGTTCTCATTCTGTCAGTACCGTGCAAATCAGCAGACACATTAATTTGATTAGAGAGTATTCAGACATAAAACAGAACAGAGAGTAAAGTAACCATAGTGCCAAGAAGAAATCATACTGTCGTTTGAACACTTTCGCATGTTGATGGGGTGAAGGGGAGGGATCGCTCGACTCGAGTTGGCGACTTGTTATCGGAGTGCTTTATTACCTTTGCATGGTACAGTTCTTCCGTTTATGTACTTTGAGTTGGCTATTGATTTGTTACTTGTGGTTATCGCTTTTGTATATGTTATGGGAAGCACTGAAGCGTGAATCACTTTCTGGGTACACCCAGATACGGCAGTCGACCGGGCTGTGTATGAGTCTTCATAGAGAGAAACTCATTTTAACTACTCTCAAAAACATTCTAGGCTAGGCTCTCGGATGTTCGAGTGACTGAAGGAGAGGCACTCAGAGCAATAATTCAAAATAGAAATCGAGTCTAAATAACCCGAAAATCCCGTTTGGGCTCTCACCTGTATCTCGACATGTTCGTGAATGTCAATGCAATTCTCGGGGTAACTGCGCTCCTGAAGGGAAAAGCGATGATGACTGTAACATGCATCATCGCACAGTATGATCATTATATTTATACATTACTCATGATTTGGACAGTAATTGAGGACTTAGTTCACGATAAAATTAGACTCAGAAGACAGGCTACGGTGACGTTCACCTCTAAAGGCGGACGAGTTTTCACGTCGTTGTAGAGGTTGAAAGTTAAAAGGGTAAAGTTTTTGACGTTAATCAATCTCCTCTGAGGGATGGGCCCCCGCACTCGACTTCCATTCAGAATCGTAGTGGCGTAATGAGTGCGTAGTGGCCTATACAATGCCTTGCGGTAGCCAGCTGATGCACAAGTCAGAGCTTTTATCCTCTCAGACAAGTCTGGTACCGATTCACGGACCCCGGGGGGATGGAAGGCTTTTATGAAGCCATTTATATTTCGGAAGATT